TTCTAAGTTAGTCGATGATATTTGGCACCACTTAAGTCCTAGCGGCTATTGGAGAGGAAGCTAAAGTTACAACAACTTGCCTAGTGGCCCAAGAGGGTCCGCCTTCTGTAAGGAAGGCCCGTACGAGAGGGTAAACCAATTCCCTGACACCCACATGGGTCAGCTTTCTAAGACAAGAGGATAAACTTTACACTCCGAATATCCAGAAGTGGATAAGCCTGGCTGCCCTAGTATAACTAGATGCACGATGACTTGCATTGGGATTCCTAGAAGTAGCCACAATGGTCTTTTTCAAGGCTTAGCTAATTGAAGGATTTTGGGTCTCTTGGCCTAATCCGTGGGGAACCGGGCCCTAGAGACGGATGGGGCATATTATGCAGTACGCCGGACAGACGGCTGCCCTAGAACTTTAAAGTTGCTACCGAGTGCACTAAGGTAGCCTACGGTTTCCGGAAGACTACTTACGGCTTGCCCTTCGAGCAGTAAAACCATGCTAGACTTATGCAACCGCACATTCTTGTGCAAGGTTAAACAAGCTAGCGTGCATATACGAAGCGTTATCCACTGCCGACATGCTCTGTAGTCGATAAGCTTCACCTCTGCCAAGCGCAGAACAACCTACACCAAGTTCTAAAGTGTTATGATATTTGCTACTTAACCTACGGAATTGGAGAAAGCTAAAGTTAACAGCCTAGTGGTTACGCAGACTTGTCTACTTCTGTAAGTAAGGCATCCGGCTGCCAACCCTATGGCTAACAACTTTGCAAAGTTCTACACCAACACCTATGACTGCATAGGCTACGTGAGCTTGTCTGCTTATAAAAAAGTAGCATATCTGCCACTGGTCAATCAAGTCTAAAGGTTAGGGCATGAACAAAAGAAACGAAGATGAAGAAAAGAGAAGGAAGCATGTTTGTAAACAAATAGCAAAAATCGAAGGAGTTCAAGCAAAACAAGAGCTACAAGAAAAAACAAATAAAATCCTAAAGGCTACCTAGAAGACTACAACAGCTTGGACATCCCACGATTACTCGGTCGCCACACCTTCAGCAGCCGCGACACTCTTAGCAGTAGCATCATCCATCGCTTCACTCCTGGCTACCCCATCCTGGGAATTAACTTCTCCACCTACTTCACCAATGGAAGCCTCAAAAGTAAAAGCAACCAAGTCTTCCGGAGAAATAAAGAAGGTCTCAAAACCTCAAGCCCATCATTCTCACCCTTCGGCTGCTCATTCTTATTAAGCAGACCAACATGGACGTGCTGCATCTCATCCACTTCATTCTTCAAACTTTCGCTGATCCTTAGTACACATTGAAATTCTAACACTTGGGGTTCAAGCCTATCGACTATTCTCTTGAAGTGGATCACTTGATTATAAGCAGTAATCAACTCTTCATCATTTGCATAAGCAGCGAAACGAAGCTAAGAAATTGTAAACTCAAGATCTGAATCTGAGGTATGTAACATCCAATCTCATTCTCTGCAATTTCATACTTAACTTGGATCGTGTCAATCCTAGTCTTCAAGTCAACGATCTCGTGGCAAGCGGTCTCAAGCTGCAGAGAAGTGGGGTTAAAAATATTAGACCCATTCAAAGCAACAAGCTCAGAATCAAACCTCTTGGTCTCCTCGGTTGAGGAATAAGCTTCAGCTGCTATAGTCTTCGCCACCTCCTTGGCAGCCTTGCTATATATGCATCATAGCAAGCAGAGCGGTCATTCTATATTGGGTTGTATGCTTCGCAAAGGAACTCGGGCAAACAACCTTTCTACCGCCATCAACAAACTTGGCACAAACGTCCATGTCTTCAAGCAGATTTAGTTTCAAAAGCACACAGATCTCAGCAGCCTCTCCAGAAGCAGGCTTAGTGGATTCACAGTTGTTCATGCGAGCATTTTTTTCCTTCCTAGCAGGCGAATCAGTCTCAGATGTAAAGGGAGTGGGCCTTGACGCCATTTTAGCAGCAGAGTCCACCTTATCGCTATTCATAGTAGCAAGCCTCTCCAAAGGTGAACCGAACTTAGCTCACAATAGACATCTTGGTACAGACTTTGGCACTGGGGGCATGATAAGAACTTTATGCTGAGCAATCATATCAGCAATCGTACTAGCCATTCTCGACATGGCAGGCGCCACAGGCTCAAATCTAGCAGCCTCATTTTTTCTTCCCATTGGAAAAAGTTATGTCAATCACAAGCATCTCGGCAACAGGCAAACCCTCATGAGTAGCAAAGGAAATTTTCAATCTTTCTCAATTGGCATCTCTTGAGCAGGCGGGGAAGATCTCTTCTTTCCACCTTCATTCATAGTAGGCTCTACGACAGCGATCAGACGAGCCAATACATCCGCCTTGATCCTCTCTACCTCATCTTTCGGGATCAGTCCACCTTTCTCTCGGCGAAGAGAACTAAGCAGCCAATGCCATTCACAATACTCAGCAGAGGAGCTCAACCTAGCATTCAGTAGGCAAGAGGCCTACATGCCCAGCATTCCAGCAGCTCATGAGGCCCACGACCTTCTCATTTCCCTCAATCACCGGCCTAGCCTGCGTCAGGACCAAGAGCCTAAAAAAGACATAAGCCATGCAGCCTGTCTAGCACTACATCCCAACGCTTTAATCTGCGACCCTAGCCGCACAAGCTATCCATGGCTCTAGCTAAGTTGAGCAGCCTAAAACAGTGGTCCCTGCCACAACACCTTTTCAGCCTATGCCGAGCCGACTCCTGGCCTCTGTCAACCGACATGTCACACCACCCCGACGGTTGCCCCGCGATAGCACTATCCAAGAACAAGACAAGAAAAATTAAATTTTACTTACATTGGTGCGACACGGAGAAGACGAAGAAATCAACGAAAAACGGTCATTTGCACGGGTAAGATGTAGAAGATTGCTAGAGGAGGGGAAACAAATATCCTCTAAGCTCTCTCTCTCTTGTAGGGTAGAATAAATCGCTCTCCAAAGTTGATTTAATAACCCACTTAAGGTGGACTTAAATAGGCTTTGAGAGAAATTTATTTCCATTTCCTAGAAGGACCTAATTTCCTATTAAAGAGGGAATCTACATCAAAATAGGAAGCAGTCCTATGTTTCCTAAAGCAAGATGATCTCTACACCTGCTGCCCTTTCCTACGAGCATCCCAACAGGTGTGGGGGCATTTGTGGAGCCAAAAATAATCACAAGGCGACATGTGGATTTTTGGACAAAATAGGGCAAAAATACCCTTGAGGTACAACATGATTCCTACGCGCGAGCAGCGTGCAATCATCATTCAACCAAATCAAAAGCACCCAAAATAGGTAACAAATTCAAAGTTATTTCATCCATCCTCATTCTATATTTTCCACAAGGTAATTATTTCATAACCTTCAAAACATCCCATATAAATTACATAACCCCCAAAATATTTATTCCAAAAATGTGTTGATTAACCAATTAATGGATTAATTGCCTAATTAATCCATTAAATCACACATTAAACCATAAGTTACACCCGAAAAAACATCCAAAGGGGACCGGCTACCCTATCCCTATAAATAGGCTCCCATTTTCACCAAAAGATCATTCCAATACACTTGCAAAGTTCCCAATACTCTCCAAACACTTTTTCTCTCTAAATTCTAACTTTGGCATTGAAGGTTCTTCGGCCTAAGCCCCCCCCATTCATCGTGGGCGCGTGAGGCTCTTGGCCTTGACCCTAAGGTGTTAATTGTTTTGTAGGTGCAATTTTATCCAAGATCAAGGAGGAAGAAATCTGCATCCACACTACACACTCTAATATTAGACAAATTATCCAAAACACTTCTTTAATCTTATGAATTGTTAACTTAAACGCGACAGGAAAATTATCACTCGCTCACATTGTTGACATGTAATGTTTTTATATTTCTCATGACGGATTGCATTTTGAACTTTTAACTTGTTGATTTTATACGAATTTGAACTTTTGTATAGGGAAATGACAACATGTGAAGTTTCGTAGAGTTTTAAATTCAACATTTTTTCCGTTAATTAACGACTGTCGTCCATGAGACATTTACATTTGATACGGGAAAGACAAGCAATCGATGCATTGGATGAGCTCTCCAAACCTAAGAGCTGCATCATATAACTGAAACCCGCAGGCTACCATCTAGATGCATTTTCCCATGTGAGAACGTACTCATGTAGTCAATTTTAGCCTGCGAAGTAAGAACAGGGCTAACTTTTGTAGCCTTCTGCAGTGGTTGCATGTGTTTGCTTGGAAACGTGGCTTGCCTCAGTTCGGCAACTTTGTCAAAGATGTGGTCGTAACTTGTAGCTAAATAAGGCCCCAAATAAATTACTGTTATTCTAAAAGCAGACGGCTGAGGTAGCTCCATCAAAAGGAGGTCCAGTTTTAGGGTTTGCATGTGTCTTCTCCTTCAGTAGTCGTAGCCCTAATCGAGTCCCCAATGTTTAAATTCAAACCCATGCCCTACCCAATTTTTTATTTGTCGGGGGACGGTTTTGTTAGGTTTTTTTTTTTTACTTTGTTGGAATTCTGTTTTAACTTTTGGCATGGAATCATCTTCTGCTCTATATGCCTTGTTGGGTGTGCAATTTGTATCTCTTGGTCAAAAATTCTGGGAGACTGTTTGTCCTTATCGAAAATCAAGTATTGGATTCTGTTGTTCTGCCTTTTTTTTTGTCTTCTGGGTCTAAATTGTACATAAGTTTGAATGAAAACTATAGTATGCTTTTGCGCTTACCCGCCATGAATGAATTGAGAATTAAATATGCGACGAAGAATCAAAGATTTAAGGACTCTCAATGATGAAGAATTCTAATCTCTACTATACACGATGCATATATAGTAGGAAAAAAATTCAACTTGAAGTACTCGGATTTGTTTTTTTCGATGTTTTTAGTTCTTTTGTGTTTTTAACGAGTTACTTTTCTCTATCTCATATTATGATTTACATGTAAAATGCATAATCCTAAAGGTCAAACAGCGAGAAAAACACGAAGAAAAAAAAATATCAAATATCAGGAAATAGATTGATAATTTAGTATAGTCAACACTTCAACACTTGTCTTCTCTTATAGGTCATCAAGATTCTTGAACAGAAACCCTAATGCAGCCTCAGAGAAACAAAGCGAGGTTGTAATCATCATGAAAATTGACTTAAAAACAGTAAAAAAGCAAAGGGACAAAGTAGAAAATATTGTTTGGAGGAAATGTCGTTTTCCTCTCACTTCCCTCCTAAATATGTCTAATTGAACTTGAATAGTTCTTCAGCTAATCACTTTAGGAATGTCGTTTTCAATAGGCCACAAGCTCGATATGCAATCAGCAACGAGAGCCCTTTCGGCAACTAAGTGCGCCGGAAGCCGTGGTAATCGCACCCACTAGAGAAGATGGCTTTGCACCCAAGCTCGAAGCCCTGGCGTAGCTAGAGGAAGCTCCGGCACCTGATGCAGTAAAAAACGCACCGTTGAGCATCAAGTCGCCTTCCGACCTCCAGTTCCAATTCTTCCATTCACTTTCTGGTGCATCCTCATGTTTGGTCACCTGCGTACAAAGTTTGTAACATATTAATTACAAGTTAAACACAAATTATAAAATTCAAATTAAATTGTAACATTTTTCTAATGTGCATAATTTGATGGGTTTTCACCTCTTTGCTGGATCTGATATCTGGTGCAGCAAATCTGTTCCCTTGGCTATTGATTGTAGGGTCTGCACTCCCACCAATGGCATACATCTCCCAATGGGTGTAGTCATTGTTCACCACATGGAAATATCCATGCCTACATCTGCAAATGTAAATCAAAAGGTTAATTATTCACAAATAAGTTCCTCGAAACTCTATGTCATAATCAAAAGCACTTAAATCACCGTTTTTTAGAAGAAGACTTTTGCGCCCAGTTGTTAATGTACAACAAAAAATTTATTCTTTTACCGTTTTTACTAACATTATTAGCGGTCAGCAAGACTAATACTAATTAAGGATCAAGTAAAATTTTTAAAAGCATGAAAGCCATGGACCACCAACCTATCTACTTTATGCAAATTAATTTTAAAAATGTCCCACTAATTAAATTTTACTTTTTGTAATTACCTTGGCATTCTTTGGACCAAGCCTTCTCCAAAGTGATTGAACGCAATGGTGATTTGCATGTTCTTGTCGTTGGTATACGAATCGCTATGCCCCAAAAGCATCACCTTATCATGGTGCGTCATGTAATTGTTCGAAATCGTTATCGCAGTGGACCCATAAATTGCATCAACCAACCCATCTTTGCAGTTGGACAACGAGCAATGGTCCACCCACACGTGGCTCCCACCGAAGATCGACACGCCGTCGCCGTCCGATACGGTCCTCCACCCGAAGTGCCTGGGGGAGCTCCTCACCATAGCGTTCCCACCCTGCTTGCAATCGTGTATGTGCAGTCCGTGGATAATAATGTTGGTCACGAACTGGATGGTGATGCATGGCCCGCCGGCAATGTGTACGGACGCTCCCCGGCCGTCGATTGTCTTGAAGGAGTTCATGATCAGCTCCTCCTTCAGCTGGATGGTCATGTCACGCTGGAAAATGATCCATAATGGCTCGTCTTGGATGACGGCGTGTCGTAGGGTTCCTGGCTTGGGGTTCACGGGGTCGTCATCGCCGGAATCTGTGACCACGTAAATCTTCCCGTCTCTTCCACCTATGGCGTTCTTTCCGAACCCTATCGCACAATCAGCTAAGCTCTGCCTGTTCTTCTCCCAGTTCGGGTCGCACCGCCAGCAGTCGTCGATAGGGTTGCCGGTCCCGCATGACAAGTAGCCCAAGTTCCTCCTAGATACTGAGTCGCTAATATTCCTGCAACCACAAAAATGTGACACATTCTAATGAGTAACATTCTCTTATCTTACTTATGTTGACAGAATATATATCTAGGGAACATATTCCCCAAATTATTCTCTTATCAAACATACATTGTCAGATTGTGAACCTGGGACGCACATTGGAAAAGGTCAGTGGTAATTCACGGTCCGACGAGCTAACATTTTAGGCTTACTTCTAGAACAAACACAAAATAATTACTTGTGGAGCCTTACCTTTGTACCTCTTGTACTACCAATTCAGGGTCTTGGAGATGAAGTGGCCTGGAGGAAATGAGGGTTGGGGAGAGGAGAGAGAGGAGAGGGAGGAGGAGGAGGGGAGAGAGAAGTGAGGGGCCTGAGGAGGGCCTTGGCATTTTTGGCATTTTTTTGAATGTGCAAGGCACTGAGGCAAGCAAAGAGAGAGAAGGCAGAGAGAGAGAGGAGGTGTGTTTGTGAGTGGAAAGAAGCGAGGGAGGGGGAGTATATATAAAGAGATTTTAAAAGGGGGGGATAATTAGCATGATTAAACTAAACATGTGGGACCCGAACTGCTACGTGATTTCAGGTATTTACGGGAATCCAGTTGGGTAGTTTTGGCCGTTAAGCAAGCCTTGAATAATGCTACAAAGGTCATCAAATACCTTTAACAGAAACTAACCTTATCTTGATCTTCTGTTTTCTACTCCTGTTCAGTGGTGAAATAGGGCATGTTGGTTGTTACTCTTTTCTTTTGTGTATGAGTTTTTTTCTAGTGTCCGTCGTCTACGTGCATACATAACTAATATAATTTTTATACGCATCAACGTCTTAAAGTCACCCACATGAACGTGAGCAATTTTTTACTATTAGATGAAATAAGAGTTCTACAAACATCAACAATCCAAAGTCGCCAACACTCTCTGGTTTTGGGTTTGAGATACGAAACTAATAAAAACATGAAAGATTTTCTGGTTGAAAACTTTGGGAGGAGGAGTGCCACTTGAATGTAGCGAGGGGTGGGATGAACTGCCTTTAGTCTTTTTGGACCCCACTTTATATAAGTTAGTTCTACAACCATTCGGGGTGTGGGATAGCTTAGACTTCATTGAAAGAAAAAAAAAAAGTCACACAAGCATTCGTAGTTTCTAACAATTGAAGAGATGTGAGTTCAAAGTCTCAACAGTTCAGAGTTGCCCACATACATTCTTATTAACAATTTCTGGCCATCAATGAGATGTGAGTCTCGTATGCACCAATGATCGAAAATCGCAGCCCACACACAATAGAGGGACTGACTATAGAATTGATAGATCATTAGATCTTCTATGGGTCTAAATTTGCAAATCTATAAGGTCATTTTGGTATGCTTTTCTCATAAGACTATGAACCCCACCACAAATATGTGTGTTGAAAACACCTGCTTTTGGTTATTAATTTCTCCACTGCATGCTGTATTTATTTCGCATAACATCAACTTAAGCTGGTAGAGTAGGTTTTACTCATTAAGACGATACACAATTTAAGGTAAGACCTTTATGCATATCATTTTCTTTTGAATTATTAAAGCATTGTCTCATTTCACGTTGCCATTGACAGTGACACACGCTATGGATGGAGTAGGATTTTCTCCTTTTCAAATTTCTCCCTTTTCCAATCCCCTCTCCTCCAGTTCCTATTATTTGAACGGTCACGATTAAGTCACATCAATGCCTGATGTTGATTTCTTTATAAAGAGAGAAAGAAAAAGAGAAAAGTGAGAGATGAGGGAACTGAAGCAGAGGGAATCTGAAGAGGAGAGAATTGTACTCCAACATAGACAACCAAATACGATGGAAAAAATATGTGAAAATGGAGAATATATAGACATTGTTACTTTGCTAATTAGTATGCTTGCCACTTTATTTGCATATTTTTGGCGGATTTTATGGCCCCTAAAATTGACTTATTTGCGATGGGTTTGAACAAACTACTTTTCAATTTTAATTTTTATGAATATATTATTTTTAGCTTGAAAAACGAAATGCTATGCTATGAGTTTCGAGCTAGCAGACATGATGAACATAAAAAGAAGACCAATGTTTTAGGTACACCAATAACTAATTAGTACTCTAGCTAGGCGTGACAAATTCAAAGATTCAGTAATGATTCATATATATTTATATAGTTTGATGGGTTTTTTTTCCTTCCCTTTTGAGTATTTTATACATCTCATGCAAATAATATAATCCCTATATAATCTTTACCTTTTGAGAATATATTATTGACTCGTTTGAAAATACTTTTAAAATGACTGAATGTAGTATCCCACATCACCCAGGGGAGTGGATCATGTAAGTCTTATATGTGTATTCTCATCTCTACCTAGCACGAGGCATTTTGGGAGCTCACTGATTTCGGGTTCCGTCGGAACTTCGAAGTTAAGCGAGTTTGTGCGAGATCAATCCCATGATGAGTGATCCATTGGGAATTTCTCGTCTGAGTTCCCAGAAACAAAACCGTGAGGGTGTGGTAGGGGCTCAAAGCGGACAATATCGTGCTACAATAGAATCGAGCCCGGAATGTGGTGGGGGCCCAGACGGGGATGTGACACTGAAAGCACCAGTTATGTGCTTATTCTATGAAGTACTTTGGTTGCTTTTCCAGAATTTACTTGCATTTTTTTATTAAGGGTTGGTTCCAAAAATATTTTCATAAAAAACGTTTTCAGTCATTTAAAAAAAAAAAATCGTAACGAACTCTATAATTGTGAAGCTTTTGCATTAGTACGTCTTGTGCAAGTATTACCTCCATAAATGATATGAATAATTAAGTAATGTGATCATTTTCTTTACACTAAGATATTCTAAACTACTCAAATATATACAGATAAAGATTTGAACTACTCTAGCCAACCGACTTGATTCATATCAACAAAATACAATTCTTAGAACCTATTCTCATGCGATCCTAAAATGAGCTCGAACAATTTCGGAAAACGGCTACATTTCTTCGGAGACTTGATAAATGATCCGGTGAAAATGATCAGAAAATTGTAACGCATACATTTTTACCGTATCATATTTATTATTATTTAGTTTCCGATTTGATAAGTGGACAAGACACTTAAAAGTGTGACACAATTGTGATGCATTCAAGAGCAAGCAACGCCAAAAATTCTTGACAACCATATGAAATCGGTTATTTCTGAATTTAATTCAAGCAAGCAAGCAATTAATTAGACCTAAAAATACTCGTGACAGAAGCACATGCATGTGCCCACAAAATCAAACCCCCTAAACCCCAAGTAGTAGAGATTTTTCAGTATGATCGTCATATGAAATGGTACATCGTGTGTCGCTATATAAATTCTGGGATATGTGTGTTAAAAAGTTAATAACTTATAAAAAAAATTTCACCACTTACATGAAAACACATGACGTACCACTCGCTTTTCCGTCACAACTAAAAAATTTTCTCCAAGTAGGCCCAACATATCATCCTTCCCTCAATTTTTCTCCGTTAAAATTTTTTAGCCGCAAACTTCGCCGGAATTGTTCAAATACGTGGCCCACCTGCTGACATGGCACATCGGTAACCGCCGCAGAAGCCACGTGTTTGAAAGACCCGTGGTGTCGGTCCAATATGCTCACTCGGGTTGCAATGGCAACGATTTTATTCCCAACCGACGATACGACTGCCGTCTCCATGAATCGTAGCCGTTGATTGTGGATGCGAGAGCAAGTGTTAGCCGTTGATTTTGAAGGGTGGGGACGGATCGAATTTTTTTTAATGAAAAGGTGCTGTGGCCAAAAGCAAACGACGTGAAGGGTCTTTGTCACAAGCATTTGAAAGGTCTTTGCATGTAACAAATTCATCATGAAGGATGTTTCAGACGAATAATATATTATTATATGTTAAATTTTCTTTATTATTAGATTAAATTGCAACGATAATAAGAAATCTGTTTGATATAAATTACTTTTGATAAAAAGGGAAATGAGAGAGTAGCAAGCATAAGCGAGTGGAGATTTTTTCCGGACCTCTATATTTGAAGTCCAAAGACACGGAGATTTGAATTGTTGAAAAAAAAGAAATAGAGATTCGGACACTTGATTTATGTGAGATGGACCAATGAAAATCGGATGAGGTCAGAATCTCCGAATCCGTCGGCTCCGGATAGAAAAATCCGAAGAAGATTACAATTCAGCATGAGCAAAGGCATGTGAGTGGAAATTACATGGCAACCTACACAAGCATATGAAACTTTGCGATGAGGTGAGAGCTGCCATTTGGCATCTTTTTCTCAACCAATGGTTTCTTTGATCTGCACATGCTGGGAGCTTCCAATTTCCCATCAAGCAATATTTTCTTCTCAATTTTTTGTTGGAGTTCGATTCTCCCAAATTGGCTGCCTAATTTGTGGGCTTCCCCCAATCATCAAGTATGAAGGCTTTGTATGTGGTTCGTTGAGATTAAATGCTGTCAACAATTGATAATCGTTTACGTAATTGTTCTTAATATGCCAATTTTACGAGTTAAAAAGTCAAATTTTGCACATAGGCTTTTTTGTTTGGATGTACCACCGACAATTTTTTTGCATGAAGACTTGAAAGGCTGATTAGATTTTTTTTTTTTTAAACATAAGGGGATTACTCCAAAAACTAGCTCAAATTATTACAGATAGTTCCTAGAGACTTCTATCGTAACCGAGTTCCAATCCAATTAGAAGGATTCTCAAAATAATGGTACCCAAGATCTATACTATAGTTCCGATTGACAATGGTCATCTGTCACCATGTTCTTCTCTTGGTAGACATGCACTAACTCTCATTCAGCTATGCGTGTCATAAGTTGTCCACACTAATAAATGATGATAGTTAGAGAATAAAATATTATTAATTAAACTAATCACTAAAGTTAAATCCATTTCAGTATATTTGTTTCCGTCCTTTGTATTGAGTAAATAAGCGGGAGGGCATCGGACGAGGAAAAAAAGTAGGCAGAATCTTTTCCCAACAAAAAAATCTTACAAGATGGTGAGGATGGGATAAAGAGGGACCAACATGCCCACTAATCACCAAGCAAATTCATTAATCTAGGTTAATTAGACAAAAAATACCAATTATTAGAGACGTTGATCTAATTACGAGGCCTTTAAACCATTGGTTTGACAGAAGAGGGAAAGGGCAGAACCCTACCATGTTCATGTGGGGGCTATTTAGTGCTTCCATTTTGAACCCTGATGTAAGCCTTGATATGAGCCTTTGATGGACCTTCACACCCTACAAACTAGATAACATGAATGCTTCTTCAGCCAGCAGCTCAGTACTTGACTCATCAAACTCAATCCTATCAACTAATAAATTCAAAACAAGTGGTGGTTTTAAGGTTCATGTACAAAAAAGGTCCTGCGGATGCCTCCCGGTATAGAAAGGATAGCGAGTTTTCTACTCCTCTTGTATGCGTGAGTGAATTGGCAATCAGATGTTACGAATAACAT